AACACTGTACTGTATTTTTCTGAGGATTTTGGAGATTTGTTAAGAGTAGCTAGGTTAGCTCAACCAAAGTCTCACAGATGACCCCTTGCAAATAAAGAGTATACCCAGCCAGTTCTCCTCTAGAACTGCACTGGACATTTTCGTGATGGGCAGCCAAAGAAACATTCAAGGAAATCTATATTTTTAAAACTTTCCAGCATGTGCCTCAGCTGCAAAACTTTTGACTTCTGGTACTGCAGCTCAGCCTAATACCCACAGTACTACTATTATTCATAACATAATACATTTGCAGTATATGTACAGTCAGCCCTCAGTTCCCTGGGATTGGAGGAACTAGACCCTCATGGGTAGGTGGGCAGAAGTGAAAGGTTCAACAGGGAATGGTCCTCCTTATTATTCCTGCTTTCTTACACTTCAAGGGGATACATAACTATTTAAGTCTTCATATGATTCCTCTATGTCATACCTCTATATTTCTTCAAAGAATATAGTACAATAACTAGGATTGTCTGCAAAAAATAATTGCTTTGCTGCACAATAAATACAAAAGACAAGATGTTGGGAGTGGGACTGCCTGTGGCAAAGACAAGGCAGACATATGGCTGCATGTGGTGACAGAACACATATTCAATGGTAAATCAGCTATAATTCACCAATTGCGCTCCAAATACATCTTATATTTCACCACCTACTGGATCTGTGTCACTGAAAGAGGCTACATAAATAAATGTGATTAATGCCTGGGAAGCGTTGGCCACCTTCCTTATTTCTCTGCCCAATCTGTAGTCTTTTATTGACTTCACTCAACAGCTGCCTCCTCTAAATGAAGGGAGAGAGTAAATGAGGATAAGGCAGACAACTGATGAGGAAACAGACTATCTTTTTCTAGTGGTCTGATCTGTAGATATATCAGGAGATAAAGCTTTTTGCCATTTTAGTATTGGCATTAGTGTAATCTGCTAAGGTTCAAAAGTGGTGTTTGACAGTAAAGTAAAAAAAAGAAAAATTGGAAACATCTGGGATCAGAAAGAAGTTGATCCAAAGGACCATGTAAATATGATTGGGAATATCCAAGAACACAAGAGGATTAAAAAGGAGTCCCACTACAGTATTTTGTAACTACAGCTGGGCATATTGGATGCTCTTAGCCATTTTTAACTATTATGTCAAGAAATCTAGGGAACCAAGTCAAGAAAATAAATTTCCCATGACATGTGCAATGATCCTCAACACTGGCAATCAATACAAACTGTACACCCTATTGCCTCTTTTAGAAATGAATTTCCTTTCCTAAGGTTAGATTTCTCTCACTTCTTGTTGTCTCGCCCCCATACTTGTTTGTAAGTCGGATGTGTGTAACTTGGAGACTGCCTTTATTACTGCCATTGTTCTAATGCATAATGTAATGTGTTGCCTTCAGCTCTTCTGGAACGTTCTAAAAAGGCTTGTTCTTGTGACGTGGTTTCTGTCAAATCACTTGACCATTCTTGTTTATATTCCTCAGATAAAAGATATGGATGAAATACAGGAATCCATTTTTGTGAAGTGTTCTCAATGGCAAGAGGGTTATAGAATTCCATACTTCCTGAACAACTCTGATGCATTGTTTTGTGTGACTGTGGCAAGTTTTATTCTTGAGATTCATCATTTTAAATAAAAAAAATTATCTCTGATTTCTTTTTGTTATACACGTCTGTGCTGTGATTTGTTAGGTTTTTTTGTGTGTGTCAGGAGCGACTTGAGAAACTGCAAGTTGCTTCTGATGTGAGAGAATTGGCCGTCTGCAAGGACGTTGCCCAGGGGATGTTTGGATGTTTTAATGTGTTACCATCCTTGTGGGAGGCTTCTCTCATGTCCCCGCATGGGGAGCTGAAGCTGATGGAGGGAACTCATCCACGCTCTCCCCGTATTAGAACCTCCGACCTGCTGGTCTTCAGTCTTGCCAGAACAAGAGTTTAACCTATTGCACTACCTGGGGCTCCTTACTTTATTAGGGTATGCCAATAAAGGACGCCGTGTTACTGCCCTTGTTTATATAGGAATATATTTATCTTGCTGGTTGGTCTTAGATGTTCTTCTGAAAAAGAAAATACAGGAATCCAATTTTTGTGAAAGAAATGCTGGTTGTAAATGCAGAAAAAAATAATGAGAACTTGCATTCTGTCCTTGCAAATTTAAGTGATACAGTGTGCAATTCTATATAGTTCTGTTAAGAAATAAACTCTAGGTAATTATAAAAAGATGGTGTGCAGAAGTGATTAGGGTGGTGGGCCAAGTCCCAGTGATTAGGGTGGTGGGCCAAGTTCCCCTCCACAAGTAGTCCTCCTTCGTTCCCTCTCCAGTATCACTGTCCCCATCTATACTGACATATAATGCAGTTTCAGAATGCAGTTTAACTGCAGTGAACTACATTATATGGCCATGTTGATTCCTATAATCCAGTTTAATCCAGTTTAATCCAGTTAAATCATTCTGAAACTGCATTATACTGTATGACAATGTAGATGGAGTCATTGATGAGAGTACTCAAAGCTGGGAATCACAAGTTGTTGAAGCGCCAGCAGACTGTGTTTTTCTCCTACTCATCTCCCAAACTGGGATTCACCCAATTCTCCATGTGCAAGTTAAATGTGGAGTCAGTCACAAGAACAGAGACTAGGAGGACTATCTGACCTGGACCTCAAGCTTAAAGCAGGGCTGACATGTCTCAGTCTGGGAGAATTGCACTAAGTTTTAGCAACTTGTTCTTATACCTTCTTGGATGAATGACCTACAAGTAACACAGTTACCCGTGAAGTTTTTTTAAAAAAATATATCAAGGGCACAGTGAAATCACATGAAAGAGATGCAAAGAAGAGAGGATAATTTGTTTTACTAGTATAACAAGCAATATTCCCTAGTTACCTTTATGCATACACTCAAGGAAAATGGAAAGGTGTTAATGTACCACTGTGCAACCTTCTTCTCCCACTCCCATCCCCAATTCCTGCAGATGCCCATGTATAAATAGACTACAAAACCTGGAATGAATCCATGCTTCTCAGGCGCTCTGAGGAAGCATGGCATTCCCTAGTCATGTCCCCAACTCTGGAAACTGAGCAGGGAGTGAAAATGAACCAATAACGCCAAGACTTCGGCAAAAGTGTCACTCTTCACTGCCAGAGGAGTATCTCAAGCCATTCAGAAGCCAACTGGTTCAATCAGACTTTGAGGGCAGACCCTCCTGATATCCTGCCCTGCACTACACACCTCTTTAAAGGGGAAAAGATCCTGATATTCTAAATCTCAGAAGATAATGATGCAGGCCCCTTCCACACAGCTGTATAAAATCCACACTGAACTGGGTTATATGGCAGTGTGAACTCAGATAACCCAGTTCAAAGCAGATATTGTGGATTATCTGCCTTGATATTGTGGTTATATAGCTGTGTGGAAGGGCCCCTTTACATTCATTTGAGAGTCTGCATGGGGCCAGTGAGTGCTCATAGCCTTGTACTATGCTCATAGCCTTGTAGATATCAGTTAACTTGTTCCTGCCAGCTACATTTTGATCTATGTCCTTTTGATCACATATGCCTACTTAACTGGTGTTTGCATGGGTTTATGTGCTTTTATTTTTGCTGCTCAAAATTATTTAGAACCTCCTTACACAACAATATCCCCAGTCTTGAAAGGGGAAGGCTACAGTTTCTCGAACAGATCATTCGGCTGTTAATGAGCAGAATTAATGTATTTGTTTATGGCACATTTTGCAATATTAATTGAATCTCTGGGATCACTGCACCACAGGCCTCTTAAAGGACTTTTTTTATCATGTCAGGAGTGACTTGAGAAACTGAAAGTCGCTTCTGGTGTGCGAAAATTGGCCATCTGCAAGGACGTTGCCCAGGGGACCCCCGGGTGTTTTGATATTTTCTCATCCTTGTGGGAGGCTTCTCTCATGTCCCCGCATGAGGAGCTGGAGCTGATAGAGGGAGCTCATCTTCGCTCTCCCAGGATTCGAACCTGTGACCTGCCAGCACAAGGGGGCTCCGCTCTTAAAGGATGAAATCACGGTACCATTAAACAGATTACCACCACCACCCCCGCTGTGTTTCTAAATAGAGCTTTTGGAAGAAAGCAGATACTTCTAAAATTTCAGTATGTACGCTTATAAATGCATAGTTGAGGACAATTACAACCTCATTAGTTTTTCCCAGTTAAAGTGAGGAGGAAAACAGGCTACAGAAGTGGAAGACACAGAGGATATCCGCAAGATATTTTTAGTAGTACTATTTATACAGTAATACAATTCTTACTAAGCATAGTTTGAAATCACAGCATAGAATAGGAGTGGGCAACACAAAGATGATGTCCCACATGCAGCCCCCAGAGACTATGTATTTCACAAAGAAACAGAAGAAATGCATTGCCAGACACCCCAAGAGACAGGATCATCCTCTAAACCAGGCCATCCACACATACACTTTGTCTTAGCCCCAAATTGATTTTTTTTTAAAAATTGCAAGTGACCTTCCAATCACATTGGTTTTATTAGGAGGGTTTCTTGAAGCACACAGTAATATCTGGATGGATGAGTGGGAAATGACTCTTATCCAGATGGTCCTTAGTTGTCCAACCCTCACCTATAGTAACAGTATTGAAACAAAACAGGACTGGACTTGGTCATTGCTTGCACATTATGACCATCTAATAATTCTCTTTTCTCTTCTTTAGGTTCCATCATGGAAGAAAACTCCTGGCTCTTAAATGCTACAATGAAAATTATTTTAAAAACAGCAAACTTTTTATTTTAGCTCATTTTAAAAATATATCTTTAGGCATTTATTTCCACAACCTTGTGACTTTTTTTCAACTAGACTTAATTTATGCATATGTGTTCCTTAATATATTTACCCACTGCTTTGGGGAAAAATTCAAAGTGAACAGCATAGCCACAGAAACAATATTTCATAGATTTCCATGCAGTCAAGAGAAATGTAGTACAAAGACATCCACCCATGGCAGCCATCATCCTAGCTGATACACGTATCTCCTTAGCTCTTGCTCAGCCAGCTATGAAAGCCCAATACTTTAGAAAAACTACCAGCAGACATTGGTCTCTTCCAAAATTTTGTTCTTCTGTCATGAACCTGAGGGGGCAGCGCTCCTATGGCACAGAAGTAGAAAAGATTGGTGAGCGACCTGTCCTCATCACTGGTTGTGACTCTGGATTTGGGTTCCAGCTGGCCAAGTACCTGCATGGAAAGGGCTTCATTGTCTATGCTGGCTGCCTACTGAAAGCGCAAGGCAAGGGAGGCTCCAAAGACCTGGATGCCATGAAAAGTGATCGCATGAGAACCATTCAGCTTGATGTCTGTAGCAATGAAGACGTGGCACGTGCACTGGACCATGTCACTGGCTCTCTGAAGAACCCACAGGCTGGACTGTGGGGTATAGTCAACAACGCTGGGATCTCCACTTTTGGGGAGGTAGAGTTCACCAGTATGGAGACTTATAAAAAATTGGCTGAGGTGAATCTCTGGGGGACCGTCCGCACCACAAAGGCCTTCCTGCCTCTCATCCGGAGGGCTAAGGGCCGTGTGGTGAATATAACCAGCATGCTGGGGCGAATGGCAAGCCCAGCTCGCTCCCCTTACTGCATCACCAAATTTGCAGTGGAAGCCTTCTCTGACTGTCTGCGCTATGAGATGCAACCCCATGAGGTCAAGGTCTGCATCGTGGAGCCCGGAAATTTCATTGCAGGCACAAGCCTGTACAGTTCCGAAGGAATCAAGGCCACTGCCGAAAAGATGTGGGAAGAGATGCCTGAAACAGTGCGCCAGGATTATGGGCGGAAGTATTTTGATGAGCAAGTGGCCAAGATGGAGACATACTGCCAAAGCGGCTCCACAGACCTTTCTCCTGTCATTGAGAGCATCACTCACGCTCTGACTTCTCCCTCTCCCTATACTCGATACCATCCCATGGACTATTACTGGTGGCTACGCATGCAAGTAATGACTCACTTGCCAGGTGCTATTTCGGATCGCCTATACATTTATTGAAAGAGAGAGGGCTGTATTTCATGCCGAAGCCCCAACCAGGAATTTTGAATATTAAAATGTGGAAATGTTTCCAGTAGTCATTTCATAACTTATTTACAACTTAAACTCTTGTTCATTCAAACATTTCTGCATATTTTAATTCTTACATTGTATGTCTTACAAAGAGGAATGTATGGTATTATTTCAGAAGGGCACAGCTAAGCATTTCTTAATTTGACATACAGTATTCTCATTTTCCCGTGTTTAACTCTGCTACTCTGGTCAAACCTCTCCCATTAAATGTTTATCAGAACAAATGTAACTCTGATTCCCAACTTCTTTAAAAGTAGTCTTGTTGACTAAATCAGACAACCCAAAGTATGAATAAATCAGACCTGATTTGATTTTCATGTTGCTACAAGATAAGGGCAGGGACTGGCTCAATGGAAACCATTCTTCTTTTTTGCACACTATTGAATTGTAGGCTACTTAGGCCCCATCTATATTGCCATATATCCAGTTTCTGAATCCAGATTATCTGCTTTGAACTGGATTACATGGTAGTGTAGATAATAGCCTTAGTTGATTTTACTTTGGGGTTATTTCAAATTGGTACTTTCATACAGTTCTCTCCTGGCAAATTTGTTGCTGTTGTCCATGTCCCTTTCATTCCACAGTTCCAACCCAACAAATGCAAAAAACTTTCTCAGTTTTTCAAGGCTCTTGGAATTGCATAGAGCAGTGGTTCCCAACCTGTGGTCCGTGGACCACCAGTGGTTGCCAAGAACAAAAATATGGTCTGCAGCTTCACCGTTACTACACCGTTGCCTTGACACCATGTGGTAATGAGAGCGACTGGTTTCACGAAACTCTGTTATAGTGCCGAGGCAACAGGGATGTCGGGGGGGGGGGGGGGGGGGGGGGGGGGGGGGGGGGGGGGGAGGCTTACTATCCATAAAATTACTACCATCACATCAGCTCTAGATTATTAAATATGGTTTTCTGTGGGCGAGCAGATGGCGACTACTGGATGGTATATGTTCTGTATCAGAAACTAGAGCTGATGTGGTCTATCCAATGCAATTTTCTGAATCAGCACGCCAAATAACAAAACCGAATGTAAAGTTGACCAAAAACTGATTTGTAACCCTTTTAGTACTAATGTTGGAGAGTGGTCTCTGGTCAAAGTGGTCCCAGTTCAAGTGGTCCCTGATCAAAGGGGTCAAAAAAAATTGGGAATCACTGCCACAGAGTATTATTGCAGCGTCCATGCAGATTTTCATAAAAGTCAAATAACACAACAAAAATTCCCTGGTGGCTTTGTGGAAAAAAAAATGCATCAGTTACCTATATTATGTCAGACAGATGAAAGGAAGAATCGAGCCAGCTTTGAACACCTGCCAAGTACTTAAAAGCCCAATTGGCTCAGAATTCTTCCCCCTAGAAAACAAATGAACTGAGAGCGAGGGCTATCCATCCTCACTAAAGACAGCACTGACAATGAGTTGGTCTACTACAATATGATGTACCACCATGCAGCTTTACCATTTTAAAAGCATTTTGGGAAGGTATCTGCAAGATGCCGCCAAGCAGGCAGAGCCACAACTATTTTTTTTTAAAGGGTAAGTGCCAGGACACAACCTCTGCGTACTTTTTCACTTTGAGCACAATTGCAGGTGCTCAATGTTGAAGGAGAAAAGCCTTTTATAAGAACGTTATTTTGTTTAGGCCCCCCCCCCTAAAAAATACAAAAACATACTAAAATTATACAAAGACATCTATGCTGTGCTAATGTTACCCTGTAAATGAATAAAAATATTTTTGTTTTAAAACTTAAGGCTAGACCCATTTGCTAGTCCCAATCATGAAGCTCCATTTAATCATAAGTACAAACTTTTCAAGTTTCCATTGATTTAAGGACCTGCTCTAGTTGACACTAACTATTACATTTAGCTTTACTATTCCTATGTAAACAATTTACCAACCTTGACAATACCTGTTTCCATAAAGATTTTCATTCCATTATAGAGTTCAATTTTGAATTCAATTTTTGCAATTGCTTGCATGTAGTGTATTTTAAGGATGGCTTAGGGCAATTTTCCCTATTATATCGTGTTACCTATACTTCCCACCTGTTTATTTAAATAAAAACCAATGATTGGAGTTGCTCCTGCTGTGTGGAAGCAATGGAAAGGGTGCTAGAAAACCACAGCTTCCACACAATGTTTCCGACCACTAGATTAAAGTTAGGGAAGAATTACAAAAATAAAAGCATTAATGCATGGTGGGGAGTTGGATGGGATAGCCCTTGTGGTCTCTTCCATCTCTATTACTGGATCTACACTGCCACATAATGCTATTTCAGAATGCATTAAAGTGGATTATATGGCAGTGTAGATTCATATAATCATGTTCAATGCAGTTAAATTGCATACTGAAACTGCATTATTTGATAGTGTATCTCCAGCCTATAATTTTGTTCTATAAGCACCTATAAAAAGTACTGTATAAATGTTAAAATATTGACTTAAAATACATAATAGAGGCAAACATATTCATAGGATTACAAATTAAAGAAGCAAAAACACTAGAATGGGAAGAAAGAGGGATTTGGAAAGAGGAGAGAAGAAATATACTACATTAAAATGTATGACTATTACTGTAGGGAAATATATGAAATCAGAGATGTCTTGAAACGCTTCTTACGCAAAGGGACTGGATTATACAAATGGCTGGTGGCAAAGCTCTAGAAGGAGTATTTAGAGAAGTTAAAGCAGAAAGTTAAGCAGGGGCAGAATGAAGTCATCTAAAAGTTCAAAATGTGCAAGTGAGGGAAACTTAGAAAAATGAAAAGGAAAGAAAAAGTATCTACCTAAAATGTGTGTAAATAATACTCACAAGTGGGATAATAATGATAATAATACTTTATTTATATCCTGCCACCATGTCTCGAAAGAAACTCGGGGAGGCTTACACAAGCACATATAACAATGTCAAATTACATAGAACAAATACCGTAAATACTCGAGTATAAGCCAACTCGAATATAAGCTGAGGCACCTAATTTTACCACAAAAAACTTGGAAAACAGATTGACCCGAGTATAAGCCGGGGGCGGGAAATGTAGCAGCTACTGGTAAATTTCAAAATAAAAATAGATACCAATAATGTTGCATTAATTGAGGCATCAGTAGGTTAAATGTTTTTGAATAAAACTGTAAGTTAAGATAAGACCGTCCTCTGATTAAAGCATTATTCTAACCTTGAGTGTAAATGTGTTTACATATCCTTCCAATAATAATAGAGTAAAATAATGGAAATGTAATAATAACAGTAATAATAGAGTAAAATAATAAATGTAATAATAACAATAATAAAGAATAAAATAATAAATGTAATAATAATAGAGTGAAATGAGTAATGTAATAATAATAATAATAATAATAATAATAATAGAGCAAAATAATAAAAAAAAAAACCTTGACTCGAGTATAAGCTGAGAGAGACTTTTTCAGCTTAAAAAAAGGACTGAAAAACTAGGCTTATACTCGAGTATACACAGTATATACAAAACAGCATAAAACCCCTTTTAGTTTAAATAAAAATACCCAATAAAACACAGCAATAGCTGTGGATTAAAATACAACCCTAACAGTACCATTAGGGAGTAAAGGTAGTGAATGTACTAAAATACTATTATCACAAATTAAAGTTATGGTGAAGTTTTCCCCAAAGAGAAGACTGCTAAGTAATACCATCATGAGAAACACAGCCACCAACCTTTGCTAACTGAGCTGCAGATATTTCATTGATGCTATATTAGTCCCAGAACCTGTGTGTCTTTGGGAATTGTGAGAAGACAACGGAGAGCTACATGATTGACAAGTGGGATGGATTTCTGATGTTTGTTTCCTTATACGACTTCTTTCTCTCTTTTACTGTGTGGCTCCTGCTCTAAAAATGAATCATGTTTACAAACTAAAGCTGGTAGAACTGAGCATATTCCGTTTCTTTCCTTCTCAGAAGTATAGTAGTTTTGTGTTGAAACATCAGAGACTCAGGTGTCAATTGTGCCTCAGCATGACCTTGAATCCCTGGAAAGATCATTTCCCAACTACTATTATTCATTCCCTACCTGGACTTCCATTTAGTCCTGGTAAAACAGATGCACTTTCTTCCCTTTATAATGTCCCAGCACCATTGTAGGCACAGTGGTAGTAATGTGTCCGTATAGTTAATTACTGAAGGGACTCTCTTGCCTTCTCATCATTTTAAAAGAGGGGGCTTCAGCAATCTAACATATAAACCAGAATTCTACATTATGAAGCCATAATACTCACGAGTGAGATAATCGTTTCAAAGATATTAACAGCAGTAAAAACACAGAGTAATTAGAGTGTATGGTTCAGCCTGCAAAGAGCTTTGGGATTTTTAGATGACCTTGGAAAAATCTCTTGAAACACTGGCAGCTTCTAACTTCTAACTTCATGCAGATGCACATTAACCACCATTCTGACATGTTACAATGTGAGGAACAACAATAACAACAACAACAACAACAGAGGCCGATGCGCTTAGCCAACAGGGCAAACAACTGCCCAGGTTTCCAATCAATCTCAATTTTGCCATTTTGTTGGACTTAGAAGGACTTAGAACGAAACAAGGGCATTATTTATCAAGTCATGATTATGGCACTTTTTGATAGGGGACTGGCAGAGAGAGAGAGAATATAGTAAAATATATGTATTCATTATCACTATTCATACTCTGTTTCTTCGTTTTTAAGTATTTAAATACTGAGTTATTTTTAATAAATAAGAACACATGGAAGGTTCTTTGGGAATAACTGTTTTAAGGTTGCCTAGAAGTAAAAATTAATGCTTTGATGGAATTAAGTAATACATTTTAAGAGGCCTGGGATTAAAATTGTTATTTTTGTGAAACACTGTGTGGTTTAGGGTTTGAACAACCTCTGTTGTGTATATATTGTGTGATCTTGAGCAATTCACAAGCACTCTCAT